GTGTCAATAATCGAGTCTGGACAAGACAATACAGTGATTGACATCATGAGCATCGATCTACACAATTGAGATGCGATGACATATGCATCAGCGAGCCTTACCACCCGATCCCGTTTGTCGCCTCTTATGACAAGCATAGTTACATGTTTACCTAATTACATGACATTACTATTGCAATTGCTTATCATCAACAATACTTGCTACATGTACGTTCATCAATGACCTTCCGTGTTTCAATGTGTGCTCCCAGTCCATCACATATCTAAATACGTTGTTTGTTCTTCCGTTGTAAACTGCAATTCATACACTGAATATTGTAAGTTAGTACTTCATGTATAAGCATTCCATGGCTGCTACGACATATTTTTCGAACTGATTAACATCATGTTAATATTATTCTTGTGGACACAGGTGAACGTGTATTGAGTCCTCCCTGCATTCGAATCACATCGTAATTCTGCTCATATATATCAGAAAAAATGCTATTACTGTCCACACACTGTCCACGCTGATAACCAGGCGAGCTGCTGAGTCATGGCTTAACTGACCATGATGACAATACGTTTAGGTAACTGTTGCAGGGTAGGTCTGCTTGATGGAACCGCTGGACAGAAATGATTTTGGGTCATTGGAGAGAAAGTAATCATCCATAACTGCTTTGAATCCAAGTCTTCATCAAACAAACCTAGCTGAGGGTCTGCCATAGTTTGAGCATCTGCTGTCTTCAAGAAGTCATAGATGTCCGCATCTGTTGAAGACGAGGGGTATTCAAGGAGACCAGGAAACCTCTTCATCTTTCGTTTTGCTGTTTTGGCGTTTGCATGATGGCTCTGTGAAACAAGTAACGTGACAGGGGTGACTGCAAGTGCTGACCCACGCTGACACCACCAGCACTTTCTCCTAATAAGGTCACCCGGATTGGATCTAACACTTTTCGATCTGGTTCACGTCCTCCTCCATGGTCCCAGCTTATCATTGTTCTTTTACACAGGATATCTGATGCTAGTTACCCAGATTAGAGGCTGTTACCAAAAGCTATAATTTTGTCAGTCTGGATGAGATAGGAAGATATTTAAAAGTGCGTCTTGCGTATTACCTTAGCGTGATTCTTTGATTGTCAGGTTATCTTTAAACATGGTTGCCTTTATTAACGACCTGTCTCATGGAGTAGGTAGATGTGGAAAACATAGTGATCAGTTCTTTCCAGACATCATTTATACATTAATGCTTTTATTTGCTTATGTGTGAGAGAAACACTAGCTGAAGCAATCTTGTTCTTATTTACAGTTCTGTTGAAGGTATCACGTGTGACATATAATGTAATTCTTTGATTGTAAGAGTGATTTCAAACTTCAAACAATGACATCAAACATTAGTTTTCGTTTGAGTAATACCATACTCCAAATTGTTCATCCAGGAAATGGCTTCTACATGTGTAATAAAATATCAGTGGGGACTGTAACTTTCTCCAGAGAATTAGGAATCACGTGTTTAAAACATATAAATCATATAATGATTCAGAGTGACAAAACACTATCCACAAGACTGTAGGATTAGAGGAATAACTTCAACTTTCCAAAAGTCTACTTTCCCTTCATGTCGAGCAATATTCCAGCAGCTCCTGCCTTGGTGTCTACATGTCACAACTTTTGATACAATCGAGCATGCTCTTTCTACCAAGATTTCATGGAGCATCATATGACTCTTGCTAAGACGTTGTTTGATCAAGGTTCAAGGCCTCAGTAAAGCTTTCAAAACGTTTTATGTGGAAGACATTTCTAAATCAGTGAGAACAATAATGTCCGATTAAATTCCATATTTTGACGTGTACCATATGTTCCCCATATTCTTTCGGGTGAACAGTTGACTTGCCTTTGCATGTGTTAGTGACGGATGCCACCGATGGGGCAGGATACGCTACACCTTTTCACGAACACCTGGTATCATCACTATTTGATAGGGATTCATAAACACATGCACATGATATAGTACACTGGCTGCCTCGAGGGGGAAAAGCTGGACCAGAACCCTCATCATTCACCTGGGCTCCAACGACCTGTGCTTGGTCAAGGGAAGCCAACTCTACCTTGATATGGTGGCATCAATCCTTCGGATACGACTCCAGCTTCCCGACACCAGGATCATCATATCCTCAATGCTGCCCCGCCACTACTGGCACGATGCCAGGGATCCAATAAAGATCAAGGGGATACGGAACAATATCCACCGCCGAAGAGCTCGGCGGTACCATCGTGCCACATCCCCAGATCCTGGCATCAGACAAGGCATGGTACGCCTGGGAAGGCGTCCACCTTAGTGACAATGGACTGTGTGTGTTTACGGACAATTTATTGCATGACCTGGCACTTGTTTTGCGCTAGTAAAGAGGTTATCTCCACATGGCAACGGTAGCATTTTGGTATACCCAACTAGCAGCTTAGTAGCCCACTAGTACCTGCTCATCCTCGGCCAATCGAATCTTGTCTTTGAAAGGCATTTAGAAGTGATACACATAAGGAAGAGAATATATGGATGTCAACTTCTTTATTATGAAGAACACAACGTTTCGGAGTATATGCTAACTACCTTCACTCTGAAACGTCGTGTTCCTCATAATAAAGAAGTATGTGCTTACTCCTTCATCAGGTGAAGGAGTGAGCATATACTCTGAAACGTTGTGTTCCTCATTATAAAGAAATTGACATCCATATATATTCTCTTCCTCCATCTCATCTTGTGGGTAATTTTAGGCACGGGCATCCACAGCTTGGTGGCCCGCGCCTCTCCTTGGCACGTCTTTGGATAACTGAAAAGAAAGAACACAAGGGCTGTATAGCAAAGTATATAACGCCGTTTCCAGTGAACAATCATCCCGATTATCTACCATTTTGCATTAAAGAGTAAGTGTCTTCTTGTTGCCTTGTAAAACAATGTAGTCTTGTTACGAAGTCCATCACCAATTCCCTACTGACTTAGAGTTACAACAAAGTGTCAATAACTATATTGTTAAAAATAACATATTTCCTTTGGATCGTTCTGGAACCGTCTTGAGGGTGTCCAATATGTTTACTTCACACTACGCGGTTTGTGTTATTATTACATCCTTTACAGATTCGAAAGCGTCCTTAACCCAAACAGCGGATTGTTTGATGACTACAACGGCAATTAGCAAGGTACTGTGTAGCATAATTTCATTGAGAGAAAACGTTGTATAATTCACGCCATGGAACTCCATACACATGTTACTGAAACAAGGACACGTAAATGAACGACAGTTTTTAAACTCATATAGACTGGGAGAAAAACTTGTTATTTATCTTTCAGGACGTTTGATTGAATACATGTCCACAACGAGTTTCTTGGTCATTATAAATTGTATTTTTTAACTTAAGTTATTGTTGTCTACTGTGATACTGAAACCAAGCCATTGATAAACAAAAGCGTAATTTCTACGTTAATTCAATTGACGGTGTTCACCATCTTTACTTCAAAATAAGCGATGTGTAGTGTTATTATTTACAGAGCCTGAGACATGTTTTGAGATCAGGAAAACAACCCAGAAGCTCAGAGTGGAGTTTACAAGATCATTCCTTCGGCTCCTCAGTTAAAGGGTGTGTCAGTGAAGGTCCACTGCCAAATAGGAACATTGGAAAATATTTTGGAGGTCGAACAGTAATGAACAGGCATCTTTAATGGCTGCTTGTGTAGAGTAACGGTGTATGAAGTGTTAGTCAGGAGGTTCTAACTAATGCTACCTGTACAATTGAGATATTTTCAAATGCGCCCACATGTACACGTCATAAATTTGGTATTGTTTGTTTGATTTTTAACGCCGCACGCAGTATTCGAGCCTTGATCTGACAATCCATTCATTGATATCCTGAGCATCGATTTACACATTCTCGATAGATAACATGCATCATTCAAGTCAGCGAGCCATGACCACCTGATCCCTTTCGTCGCTTCCTGCGACACGCTACCCCCTGGCATACAGATGTTCCATATGTAGACACGCTTGTCATAAAAGGCGACTAACGGGATCGGGTGGTCAGGATCGTTGACTCGGTTGATAGATGTCATCGTATCCCAAATGTGTGGATCGATGATCATGATATCAATCACTGGATTGTCTGGTCCAGACATGATTATTTACAGACGGCTGTCATATAGCTGGAATAATGCTGAATGCGGCGTTAACAACAAATCACCTCATCTAACCATATGAGACATAACACACCGGCCAGGATCATGAACAGGTATTGATACTGATGTTAATGTGTGCATTTCTACAACATTTCCATGCATTCCTGAAGTAGACCTTAACTGATTTGGATTTTTTGAAAATATGCGCATATACATTAATGGCAACATTGTTCCAAGCGTCAGGAAACTGGGTTTTGTGTGGAGTGCAATGTGGTCATCGTGTCATAGCTGATCCTCCAGTACAATGATGATTCTGACACAATTTATACATGTACAGGAGACATTTTCCTTTCAATCATAAATGAGATGCTCCATGGTTTTGCATACAACAATTTCGATTACCACACAATCTATAGAAAATCACTGTAAGGACTTTCTAGACTCAGATTTGCCTCAGTTACCGTCCTAATCAGGAATGTTTCGATAAATCATTTCTTAGTGCATTCTGCAATTACTTCAATCGTTACATAACAAAGCGATCTCTTTGTAGCAATCATATTGATCATGACTGACAGCAGTGGTATCTCCACTACGTCTCACGTCACATGCATGTAATGTTAATGTGACCCGTGTCTGCCTCCAAACATGTAGTTCTTTCTCACTCCTTTTGATTACCGTAGCTGGACAGGATAGGAAGACCATCCGTTTACTTGATTTGTATTACATGAACGTCTTTGAAAATGCAGATGGATATTGGCTACTTCAGGACTCTTTTCTTGGTTGTTGGTATATCAATAACATTTAATTTGGAAGAATCTCATTTTTAAAAAGACAACCAGTGGCGTTCCAGCCGTTTTAGAAGATTCCCAACATCTCCAGGTCCAAAAAGTGTTTGGACTAACGACATGTGCAATGTTGTGTTCCCGCATGTCATGCCATGAGTTCCAGTATTCTGACACAAGCCGCACGTGCATCACACGACACTTAGAGCCAATATCTGACAGCGTCCTTAACCCAGGCAGCGGATTGTTTGACATCTTCAACGACAACGAGCAAGGTACTGGGTAGCATAATTTCGTTGAGAGAAAACATTGTATAGTTCACACAATAGATCTAAAAACTAAAACATGGATATAAAATGAACCTCAGGTTTTAAACCTATATAGACTAGGAGAAAAGCTTGCTATTTATCTTTCAGGACGTTTGATTGAATACATGTCCACAATTCCTTTCTTTGTCACTTTGTTCCTTTTTACTTTAGTAATTGGAGCCAACTGTGATACCGAACCTGTGCCACAGATAAATAAAAGCGTAATTACTACGTTAATTCAATTGATGGTGTACAATATCTTTACTTCAAAATACGTGATGTATAATATTATTGCTTTACAGAGCCTAAGACATGTTTTGAGATCAGGAAAAACAACCCAGAAGCTCAGAGTGGAGAGTACAAGATCATTCCGTCGGCTTCTCAGTTTGAGGGTGTGTCAGTGAAGGTCTACTGCTTGATGAATGACACACACCAGATGGAATATGTCACACTGCCAAATAGGAACATTGGAAACTATCCCAAAAGGTCGAACAATAATTGCAGAAATGAACAGCTTTATTTACTAGCTGCTGGTGTTGGTAAAGACGGAGTAACAGAGTATCAGAAGATCAGAGTAAAGCCATCGGTAAGTGCCCTTTTACTTTCGGTTTCTGTGATATGTGAGTGTGTGGGTCCGGAGTTGGTGTGAGGTAAAGTGAAGTGGAGAAACTACTTTGCACTATTATATATATTTCTTTCAAATATGTTCAAATTTCAATTTTGTTTTGATAAAACTATCATTATTTCCCTTCAATTCTTAAAAACGTAAAGAAATAAGCTTGTAGAATATATTATGCATCTGGAGAAATGGTATATTTCCATGCTTTAGACTATGACTGTTGTGAGAACTGACACCACCTTCACAAGCGGGAACAAGACGAAGCCACATACATTTGGTACAGCAAAAGATTGTTACTCATATTCTGGAAGCTGCAAACGAATAGGAACCTTTCACATCGACACACTAGGCACAGGGATGAAGTTCTCCACTGATGTAAGTGATTCCTTTTCGCGAGCGTTATCAATATGCTAAAGTATATCAACGATAACATTCAAAGACCGAAGATGTAGAATAAAAAGATGCGCTGTTGTAACGCAGCCCTGGGATAATCCATCTAGTGAGTCATCTTGATTTCGCGACAAGCAAATAAATTATGATGTTAAAATGTTACATGCACATTTGAATGTAGATAAGAATCATAAGATCAACCATTAATGTTGTTTTCGTTTAATTTAATGATGACCATTGCTATCTTGACAGTAGCAAAGTTCGTTCATACTTGTTATGTAAATGCATCAAAGTACAACCATTCATTTCCAGCTTAAGTGGACTGGAAAAGGAAGCGTAGGCAAAGTGTACAGTATAACCCGGACACAGAATGGCGCCGTCATTGATCTGGTGTGTGGAGGCTGGTGTGGGGGATGCGATCCTGATGGAGATATGATCCTCTACCCAAACAATCTGGATATTCAGCCATAGGTCTACCCGTTGTGTGGAGGATAGTGTGGATTGTGTTAGGTATAAATCCGCAAATTGAAACAATAAGCTAACCGAGATATCTGTACGTAAAAAGTGGTATATAATCAACAATTGTATTATTAAATGAATATTGTTTACAAATCAATACAAATTACTGCACATGGATGACAGTATACAATAGAATGGTCAATATCAAACACAAAAACAGCAGTGATAATTAAAGTCAGTTATAAAAATATATTGACCCAGCAGCGACAGTGCTAAAGCTTTCGCGATAATCATAGTTGGATGTAGTAGGAAATATGAAACTAAAAATATATTCACATATTTGATTACGAATACTGTTAACCTTTGGAAAGACGGTGAAAAAATATTTCGACCAATTATAATGTGCAGCGTCGCCATTTGTTGCAAAGATGAAAACAATGGAGACAGCTTCAGTGTCTATTTAGAAATGCCATTTCGCCAATTGTGTTTCATTTTATATTTATTAAAATGGATATTATGAATCATTTGAACTGTATTTAGGTATATATATAATATGTATAAAAGACTTAATGTTATGATTGTCATAAGAGGAATGTGCACACACCGATAACCATAAAGCAATGGCATAGCAGTCTTACATGTTGCCTTCTATTTCCACTTGTTCTATCACGGCTAATCAGATATGGCAATATGGGAATGTTACAACATTGTCAACAATATTCCAGTTTCAAGCCACTTGCTGCAATAGCATGCGAGACGCTTAACATACAGGGTATAATGACACATAAACAAACTAACACATCCTGACCTGAACTAAACTGTCCACTCTACAAGAAAGGGGAGGTTGGGGTCTAGCCTATTCTATATCTGTATGCCTTTAAGTATTTGTAGGGAGAAAGTTCTGTAATACAATAGAAGCAAAGGGCTTAATGTTTTCATTGAAGAGATCTTTCACCTTGAGATCTAATCATGTGTAAGCACCCAGAAATTGAACGGGTCCATTTTTAAAAAAATCTGTTGTCTTCTTTCATAAGCAAGTTTTTGATGATAAAACCATAGCTTTTGAGACAGTTTCACCGAAATAGGTAGACTCACGCTGGAGTCAAAGTGCTTATCCACACACAACACAAACATAAATAAACAAGAGAAACTGCTTTTGGTTCAAATTGTTGCAATGTTGACATGCATGGTAAGCTTACTATATGTTGATCGACATATGTGTTTTAATGCTGTTCCATGTACCTGTTTCCCCCAAATGCTGTGCATATTGACGTGTCTCTTATGGTGTAACTAATTTTGAACGTACACGTCAGTTTTAGTTTGAATATTGTTTAGAAACATTACACTAATGATGAACATACGAAGATATAGGTTGTTCAACTTCTATGCTCTAGATTATATCAATAAGTGTGTTTGTTCCTAGAAAAAAACTATTTCACCACTTTTACTAATCATTCACTATAGATGTTTGTCAACAGCACAAATCTAAATCCTTTACTGAATTAATGTATTATACATAATATAACTAAGATTTCAATTTGGTTCAACAACTTGTTTGCAGTAGCCACGAGAGTTGACATATAATAGGCCATTATGTCAAAGGTCACAGTTACCTGATAAGAGTCTGTGTTTGGAATTTCTCTTTCACGATTAATGTTCTCATCACCAAACTTGAGATAATACTTGTTATATGGATGTGTTACTTTATGACAATTCTTTGAACAAAATAAGTCTTGTCTTTGAAAGGTGTTTTCAGAGTTAACAAATATTCCGATTATGTATGAAGATGGTTGTCACCATAATTGGGATTTAGTTCCATTAATGTCTCGAGAAACATAATTGAAATGTGTGACTAGTTCCATAGTTATGGATACTTTCTTCCTCAGTATTAAATTAATGACGATGTTGTTGCCCCCCCACCCCCACCGGTAGGTGTTTGTCACAATCTCAAAAGTGAAGCGATTTACTGTTTTTCTTATTATTTTTAATTATGCTTATTTTTAAAGAGCTTGTTGCAATAGCCGCGAGAATTGAAATACTGTGTAAATTATATTGACATCAACATTTCACACAGGCCAATAGCTGAAAGCAGAATGTTAGCTGTTTCCTGAAACTCTTCCTTAGATTAAACAAATATTCTGATGGTGTATGATGATTTTTGTCACCGCTATTGAGATTTAGTTTATTGTTAATTTTTGAAGATAATTTGAAAAAAATATATTGTATAACAAAAAAATAGAAGCCACGTAATGGTTGAAAGTTAAAAAGTTTGGGAAAATCTAACTGAAGTGTTTGATATACTAGTATTAATTATGACAATAATTGCTGGAGAAACACGATTGACATCATATTGTTACAAATTTATTACTATTTTCGCCCTCAATATTAAACAAACAATAGTTGAACACCAATGCTGCTTGAAATTATAAATTGTGGACATATTCAAGTGAACTACAATGCTATAACACTTGCTTTTCTCTAACTTACCTGACGGCATGTTTCAGATGATATGCTCAATTTGATCCACATATGTTCCTCTCTTGTCGCCATACATGTTAACATGCAAATATAACCTTTTCACACCTGTTATAAGTACTAATTCCGCTAGATTTGCATTATTTTATATGTAAACATTTTTTATGATAAACATAATATTCACCAATAATGTTTATTCACCTTATGTACTGTTTTCCCTTTCCTCAAAACTGGGTTAATAAAAACTCTGATTCATTTGTGATGTCACTATACATAAAAATCTAATTGTGATCTTCTGTGACACCAAAAGGTCTTTTGATCAGACGGGTTTGACATAACAGTACATCTCAGAAACTGTCACACCTACCTTCATTGTTAACAGTTCAGAACACACATGCTGTTCCACGACACGCATATGACCCCTGTCAGCAATGTGAACAGTTCCAAACATACACATGTTGTTCTAAGACACGCCAAGGACCCCTATCAGCAGTGTGAACAGTTCCAAACATACACATGTTATTCTACGACACGCCCATGACCCCAATCAGGAGTGTGAACAGTCTTACTTTGTTACCACATGTTGTTGGTCAACAAACTGACCACACGGCCAGAACAGTTTCCTGGTCGCTCCCTGTCAAACATTACAATTCCTTTCAAATGAAAAAATCAATAAACTACTTCACTTTCACAGTTCAATATCGATCCAACAGAAAGTTGTCACACCGAGTCTGCCCTCCTGATACGAACTTTGCAATAAATGATCTCTGCAGTGGGATGGCAACAGCGAACACATAACGATTGCGACTGCACCAGAGTTGTATCATGACAGTACAATCAGTTATCCTCTTTGTGCAAATATCGAACTCATAGGCGATCATTCAATAGCACAAGGGTAATCTGACGATTCTAATGAACTGCCACATTTTACATATAGACTATTTATATTACTACTACTACTACTACTACTACTACTACTACTACTACTACTACTACTACTACGACGACGACGAGAAGATAACCGGTTGCGCAATCCATACGGGACGTTGTAAATATTTCGCGGACCATTACATAGCATTGTTCGCTAGATTACAAATACTGAAAACGGCGAATAAATGTTTCGACCAACTGTAATCTGCAGCGTCGCCATTTGTCGCAAAGATAAAAACAACGGAGGCAGCTTCAGTGTGTAGAGTTTCCTTTCCTCTCCGATTATGAACCATCGATAATTCAAATTCGCCAACTTTGTTTCACTCCGGACATTTTATATTTATTGCAATGGTCATTATGAATTATTTGAACTGTATTTGGGTGTATATGACAGTTATATTTAATATGTATAAAATACCTAATGTTATGATTGTCATAAGAGGAATGTGCACACACCGATAACCATAAAGCAATGGCATAGCAGTCGGAAATGTTCCCCTCTATTTTCACTTGTTCTATCCACGGGGGCCGGTCGGGTAGCCTAGTGGTTAAAGCGTTCGCTCGCCAAGCCGAAGACCTGGGTTCGATTCCCGACATGGGTACAATGTGTGAAGCCCATTTCTGCTGACCCCCGTCGTGATGTTGCTGGAATATTGCTAAAAGCGGCGTAAAACCATACTCACTCACTCTTTCCACGGATAATCAGATATGGCAATATAGGAATGTTACAACATTGTCAAATATATTCCAGTTTTACGCCACTAGCTGCAATAACATATGAAACGTTTAACACATGGGGTGCAATATAAACACATAAACCAACTTACACGTCCTAACTTGATCCGATCGGAGTCAACTCTACAAGAATGGTGACGTTGGGGTCTAGCCTACTCTCTCTGGGTATGCCTTTAAGTATTTGCAGGGAGATAGTTCTGTAATACAATAGAAACACAAGGCTTGACAATATAATTACGTTTCACCTTGAAATCTAATCATGTGCAAGCACCCAGAAACTGAACGGGTCTATTTTTAAAATAACAATCTGTTTGTCGTCTTTCATAACCAAGTTTTTGATGATAAAACCATAGCTTTTCTTCGAAATAGGTAGACTAAGAGTGAAAGTGCTTATCCACACAAAACATAAATAAACATGAGAAACCGCTTTTGGTTCACATTGTTGACATGCATGGTAAGCTTACTATATGTTGATCGACGTACATGTATGTGTTTTAATGCTGTTCCATGTTACTGTTTCCCCGAAATGTTGTGCACATTGCCGTGTCCCTTATGGTGTAACCAATTTTGAACGTACACGTTAGTTTTAGTTTGAATATTATAAGAAACATTACACTAATTATGGACATACGAAGATATAGGTTGTTCAACTTCTATGCAGTAGATGATATCAATAAGTGTGATTGTTCCTAGAAACATTCTATATTACCGCTTTTACTCATCATTCACTATAGATGTTTGCCATCATCACCAAACTCAATCCTTTACTGTTTTAATATATTATACATAAAATAATTAAGATTTTAATTTTGTTCAACAGCTTGTCTGCAGTAGCCACGAGAGTTGAGATATAATAGGCCATTATGTCAAAGGTCACGATTACCTG